TTCGCCTCCGTCTTTCTGGCGTATGCCCACAATGCACCGCGCTGCCATAGTTTAGGACGTCACTCGTGGCTGACTGCTTCAGCTGCTGTAGGCGTCAGATAGCTGGTGGAATGTTGTGACTGGCGTTGAGTGATTTCATGATGCCTCGCCCTACTCACCTTCACAGTAGTCACATGTATGCGGACAGGCGTCGCCGAGTGTAATGTCAGATGGTGTTCCCTGAGGCCAGTGCTTCTCCTCTAACAAAGCAGAAAGGGGCGCTGAGCACCCGCCAAGGCCCTGGGACTGAGCAAGGGTCAGCAGCAACTTGCATGAAGAACCAGCCTCTCCCACAAACTCAAAGTCCGTGCACGCAGCTCCCGGAGTGTGCGAAGGTCGCTGCAGCCGTGTGGGGTCTGCGGACAGCGGCACACACTAAGCCCTGAACGCTGCTTCACAGGCATGTACCCTAGGAGCTCAGAAAGCATCTGTTTCTAAAGATGTCAAGGTCTCGAGTCGTCATCAGCTGCCCTGTTACATTCAGTTTCAGCTGCACAGCAAGGGGTATAATAAACCGAGATACAGCCTCAACGGCCTAAATGCAGTAGAGCCCCGCACAGCCCCTGCCCCGCAATGCTGCAGGGATGGAACGAGAAACCACTGATCATACAGAAGGTTGTTTTAACAGTCAGCAATCCTTGTGGGAGAGCCGACGGAGAGACCTTAATTCCGCACCCCGTACGATGCAAGCGTACCGTCGCATGCGTTGCAGGTCTTGGGGCAAGCATCCTTAACCCTCGTCTGGTGAGGGATACCGGGTGGAAGTGTTTGATCTGGCTTAAGGTCTATCAGCCTGGCCTCGCAACCTTCCCCTTCTTCTTCAGCTACAGCCAGGAGCAGCTTACAACTGTAGCCCATCTCCGTCACCATAGGATCATCTTGGCAAGATGCGGAATCTGCTGCCCGCGATCCAGGGCGCCGCAGTCTGTCAGGATCTAAGCAAATACCCCACAATTGCAACTCGCAGCTCAAGGGAGCACTCAGAGCGCAGAATCTGCCTGATTTTCTCTGCACTCTACGAGCACTGCACTGCCACGTTCCTGCAGTTTTCTCATACATATGATAACGAGATATTTCGGCATGCGCTCATTCTACTGTATCCATCAATGTCTCTATTGACTGCACCTCCGTTTTGCTCTGTACTGCAAACGGAGGTGCAGCCAATAGAGCTATGGAAAGTATACAGTAGAATAAACTTATGGTGCAACTAATAGATGTATGGAGAGGATACAGTAGAATGCATACCGTTGCAAGCTCTGCAGGTCTTCGGACAGGCATCTTTAACCCTTGTGATGGGAGGCACTCCAGGAGGCAGGGCCTCGTCTGGGCGCAGATCCTGCAAGCGACTGTTGCAGCCCTCAGGAGTCCCTTCAGCTACCGCGTAGAGAACCTTGCATGTGAATCCCATAGCTTTGACTTGGGGGTCGTCCTCGCACGCTGTAGCAGGATCGTCTTCGTCTTCTTCGTCGTCTTCCGACTGCTGCTGCTGCTTCTTCTGGGGTTCGTGAGGACCCAAAGCAACGAAATCCTCTTCATCCTCTTCGTCAGTAGCCTCTGCATCCTGATGCGGTGCTGCGGCAGCCTGGCCCGTGCTGCCACAGTCTCCCCTGTCGTACTGACAGGCGGCAACGTTGCAGGCTTGGTCGCAATGTCTGTTCCCCAGGAACCACAGGGGGCAACCTCTGGCGCACTGCTTGCAGAGACCACAGGTCTGGGGACAGGCGAGCGCAAGCGTGGCGTCTGGCGGCAGAAACGAGGGAAGATCAACTCCCGCATCTGCGAGCAAGAAGTCGCATTTGAGCATCTTCTTCAGAGCCTCACAAGACTTGCCGGATTTTTCCTGCACTTCCTGCTGGTCCTCACAGACCATCTCCACTCCAGCTACTACAGTCACTGGGGGACCCTGTGGCACTGCCTGCTGCTCTTCCGAGTCCTCCGGTCCTAGCTGCTGTGCCTCCAGCTCGGCTCGAGTCTCTTCATCAATGCATTTAAATGTGGCTTTCTGGGGTTTGCTGGTGGTTTCTGTCCCGGCGACGCCCACTTCCCAGCTGTCTGTGCACCCAACGGCTGCATCGCCTCCAGCTGTCTCCGCAGCACAGTCTCCGCCGGTTGCCGCTGCAGTGAGCCCTGA